AGTAGTAGTAGTAGTAAGTAAGTAAGTAAGTAAGAAGTAACGTAAGTAGTAGTAGTACGTAGTACGTAGTACGTAGTACGTACGTAGTACGTAGTAAGAAGAAGAAGAAGAGAGAGAGAGAGAGAGAGAGAGAGAGAGAGAGAGAAAGAGGAGATGGCCTTATAGGAAATTACCGAGAAACCTTGATATCAGAGATCCAAGTTGCTAAGATACTGAGTTTCACTTGCCATTGCCACAAATATGTGTGTGCGTCAGAGAGAGAGAGAGATTGTGTAAAATAAGACATTAAGAGAAAAAGCAGTAGAATCACTTTATCATATGACTTTAAAAAACAAGTATTTTAAACAATTAACAAGAAATGGAAGTTCGATCATTCTCACATTCTCATCTTCTCCCTTGTTGATCAAGGGCTAGTAATGGGAATAAGTCACATACAGCAGGATCAGGAAAAAAGAGAGAGGGAGAGAAGATTAAGGATAGGTGAGAAGATGGAAACAGAGAGAGCAGATAGGTGAAAAGAAAGAGTAAGAAACTCTTGTACCTTTCAATGGCCTCGTTACAGTCCCCAACCAATCCAATCATCTCCTTAACCACCTTCTCTATCTCTTTCTCCATGTCCCACACCTTATCCTCCCACGACCCCCTGGCCAACTCTGCCTCCGCAATGTCCCTCTCCACTGCCTGCAGCTCCCTCCTCATTTGCTCCACGTCCCTCACACTCATTGCCTGACTCTCCACATCTCTCCTCAGCCCCTCATTCTCCTCCCTCACTCTCCTGCTTTCCCCCTCCACCTCTCTCAACTTCTCTCTCCTCTCCTCAATCCCCTTCTCCAGTGCCGCAATCTTCTCCAAATAGCTCTCCACATATGTCTCAAACTTATTCACATCTCCCCTAAACGACGCCTTTTCTCTCTCTAACTCTATTTTTTAAGGCCTGGATCGTAGAGCAGCTATCTGCCCCTCCGCCTCCTCCAGCTCGCGCTTACGCTCGCGCACCAGAGCCATCGCACTCACGCTTTCCTGCTCAACTTTCCTTAAGTACTCTTTGTCCAGTGCATTGACTGCAACCTCATCTCCCTTCATGAAGTGGTCATAGCTAAGTGCAATGTAGACGAGGAGCTAATTGAGGCCATGTGAGTTCGAGGAGATGTGGTCCTTGTATTTGATGGCCTGGACAAGCCAGTGCATAGAGCAAAGGCGAACAGGCCACAAGTGAGGGGAAGCAGGTGCTTTTAAATTGCTCTTGCTTAGTTTGAGGGAGCATCCAAGGTGGTGGAGGAGAGGGAGGAGGTCTTGGTCAAGATGAGAGATATTGAAGTCAAGGCAACTGGAGAGGAAACGAAAGGTGTTGGTAATTTCGCGGGCAGAGGCTCAGTGTCTTAAGGGGGAGCGGTGAGGAGAAAGATAGTCATTGAGGGAGCGGAGGGCAGCAGCTTGGTACGATAGGTCATTGACAAATGGGAAGGGTCTTGGGACCCGCCAACAGCGCTGCCATAGCTGCTAGTGGATGAGCGGCGTGGGGCGCGGCAGAAAGGGGGATCAGGTGGCAAGGGAGGGTCAGCCATGGATTTGCGGATCCACCTGTTCATAGGGGGTGGCACCGCGCTGGTCTTCTTCTTCATCTAGTCTTCACGTTGGTTTTCACCTGTTTGGCAATGGCAAAGCTAGAAACTGCCTGTAATACTGTTAATTATGTATTTCAATGACATGTGCAAATTGCAATCTTTTAATAACATTTTGTAATTAAATAAGGTCCCTTCCATTCATCCAATACAATTCCAAGCTTGTAAATAGATTCAAGGAATACTTTTGTTCTTGGAGCTTCATAAAAGTGTGAATCTAGCATTCGGAACCCACACCACTTTCATTCCTAAATGTTATGTTAGCTCCCTTACCCATGAACAGAGAAAAAATACTAACAAATTCGTTCTTCATAAATTGAATGCAGCAAAAGCACGTCAACCCATAGTATTGTTGTAACATACCACTGATTTATAACATGGCCAAATGACATAATTCGAATAAGTCTAGCCATACTATCAGATACACTTGACACTTCTAAGCTCTTATGGATCAAATGAACATAAGTCAAGCAACTACCATATGTTGGGTGAACTCTAGGCAAACAATGGACTTTCAAGTTGATTTGAAGCAAGCTTTCTAGGATTTCAGCCATTCAAACCCAAATTCAAGCAAAATAATGATCCAGATATAACAAAAGATAGCAAAGGACAGTATGGAAGCAGAGATGAACATACAAACATGCAATACAGGAACATTCTCTAAACTTTTTGGAGAGGTAGGTTGTTGAAAGTGAGAGAGAGATCCTCCATTAGTGGGTAAGAAGAGAGACCCTCATAATGTCTTCTTTGCCTCTTAACGCTTGCTCTCCTTTCTTGTTTTTTTTTTTTTTTTTTTTTTTTGTACAACCTTAAAAAGAGAAAAAAAATCTCTAAGATCTCATCTTCAAATCAGCAAATCAACCTTAGTCTTTCTAAACTCCAACACACTTCTCTTCAATCATCTATTTAAAAGGTCTTGAATTTCTGTCTAACCCTCCCCTACAACAACAGTTCTCTTCATGTAAAAGTAAACAAGTTGTTGAATTTCTCTCTCTACTGCCACAAAATCACCCATCAATCTACAATCAACTAAGTCCTCGAGAGAAAAACAACATATTACTGCCACACCAGGATATATTGATAAGCAAGATCTTTCTCACTGTAACCAACTCTTCAACCAATCGAAAAAACCCATAAAATCAAAATTGATCCCAGTTCTTACTCATAAAATCAAAATTGATCCCAGTTCTTTCTTTCTATGAAAAGTCCAAAACAATAAACCTTTTCTCTCTATAATTGTTCTTCTTGCAGACTTTGCCCTTTCTTAGCCTTTTCTCTCGATCAAATGAAGAAAAGGTTTGAGACAGAAAGAGGATGGAAGAAAAAGGATAAAGGAGAGAGGAAGTGTAAGAAAATTTTTATCCATTCCATTTGAAGAAATGAGGACCATCTATTCCATTTTTGAAGAAAATTTTCATTCAATTCATTATGAATCAAGGAAATAAATCAGATTATATAGGAACATTCTCAGCTTTGCTATGTATCGAACATCACCAAAAACCATAGAATAAACAGAGGAATTCCAACCACAATTAAAAAAAAATAAAAGTGACAGATTCCAAACTGTAAACTGAAATTTTGTGTCTCCCATTTCAACCCACGAAATAAAGAACTAATGTAGCTCTCTCAATGTTTTAAAAAACGGTCTGCCCAGCGCCAAGGCGGCCTAAACAAAAAAACTGCACAACCTAGGCGGCCCTACATTGGTGGTTATACTTGGGCAGGTTAGGGGGGCGCCCAAGGCCGTAAGGCCTTTTTCGATTTTTAAAATCACTCAAAAGGGCAAAAGGGATCATTTTGACCGCCAAATTTGTATAAAAACATTATGACGTTTATTTTTAACCTCCAAAGTGAAGAAAAAAAAAAAACTCAATCTCTAAACTTATTCTTGAGAATCTAAAGTAATTTCTGAGAATTGAAAGAACTTTTTGTGGATTGAAAAAGTTTTCTTTTCTCATTGAAATTATTTTTAGGGTGCTATTGGTGGCAATAGAAGACTTTTGATTTTATTAATAGCCCGATTGAAGTAACCAACATCGAAGATCAGAGATTGCACAGAAAATGTCAGTTTGTAATCTTTATTTGAGTTTTATTTTTTCAATTTGAGATGTCTTCTGCGGGGTCTACTAGGGGTGTAGATCCGGGATGGAAATATTATGATAACCCGGATAAGAATGATGGGAATAAAATTATGTGCAATTTCTGTGGCTATGCTTCTAATGCCGACATAAATAGATTTAAGAAACATCTTGTCGGTATTAGAGGTGATGTTGCCCCCTGTAAGAAAGTCTCAGAGCTAGTAAATAAAGAAATTTCTAAATACATTGAAGATGAAAAGAGTAAAAAAAATTCAAAAAAAAAGAATATAGAATAATTAAAGTCAGGGGTCCATGTTTTTTATGATAATATTGACATTAAAGAAGAGGATGAAGACAGGGAAGAAGAGGTAGCCATGGTTGGTACACAACTCTAAGAGCAAGAGGGCTTTTGGATCTAAGAAGCTTCGTATGAGAGGGCCTATAGATAGTTTTTTTTACACCTAGCCCTGAGACAGTAATTGAAAAAGGTAAGGGAGGTAAGGGGAAAAAACAAGTGACAATTGAAAATAAATTTAAGACGGAAGATAGAGGCCGGGTGATTAAGTATATTGCTCGATGATTTTACCATGCGAATATTTCTTTTAACACTACTCGCTTGAATAGCTTCCATACAATGTTGGAAGTAATTGGGCAATTTGGGTCAGGTTTGAAAGCTCCGACTCCTTATGAGATTGGAGAGCCACTACTGAAAAAAAAAAAATTTGAGTATACTAACGAATATCTCAAGACCCATAGAGAGGGATGGGCTAAACTTGGGGTTTCGTTAATGACAGACATGTTGAGTGATAGGAGAAGGAGGAGTAACATGAATTTGTTAATAATTGTCCCTTGGGTACAGTTTTTTTGTGATCAATTGATGCTTCCAATTATATTCATGATGTTTATTATATATTTTCTTTCGTCGATAAGGGCATTGAGAAGGTTGGGGAGGAACTTGTACATTCAAGCAGTCAAAAATAATGCTGCTCCCAATCTAGCTACAGGTCATTTGCTTCAACAGAAGAGGCCTCGCATATTTTGAACTCCTTGCGCGGCACATTGCGTAGGTCTTATGCTTGAGGCTATTGGTGATTTGCCTACTATTAAAAGAATTCTTTTTAAGGCTAAGGCGGTCACAATCTTCATATACACTCACATACTTACCCTTAGCACAGTGCGCAAGTTTACAAAGCAGAGAGAGCTAGTAAAGTCTGGGGTCACTAGAATTGCCACTGCCTACCTAAGTCTACAGAACATGTATAAGAGGACGATCGCATAAAGATCTATGTTTGCTTTAGAGAAATGGAGTAGGTGTAAGTAGTCTAGAGATGTCAAGGGAAAGAAGGCACGGGATATTGTTCTGTCAAAATATTTTTGGCATGGAGTGAAGCATGCAATATTAGTATTTCTTCCCTTGGTGAAGGCTTGCTCTTGGTTGATGTTGATAAGCCCTTCATGGGCTTTATATATGATGCAATGGAAAGGTTTAAGAATGAGATTACAGAGAATTTGGGGAATAATGCAGCCAAATACGATCCAATTTGGGAGATTATAGATGACAAATGGGATAAGCAGCTCCATAGACCATTGCATGCAGCGGAATTCTACTTGAACCCCAAATTCTTTTATCAAATGCGCATATTGAGTCAAAAGGAATAATCATGGAAGATTTTAATGAGTGTCTTGAGAAATTAGTTCTCGATCCACATATCCAAGATAAGATATCAACTGAAGAACTTATTTGTACAAGTTTTCTTTGATGTCATTTGGAAAAGATATGGCATTAAGACAGAGAAACAAAGACGAACCAGGTAATATACTTTTGACTTTTGTTTTATAAATTATAATTTTCTTTCAAGTTTCAACTTTCTGATAATGTTAAATACCTAAATTAATTATAAAGGTTGCATACATATTGCAGCCCAATGGTGGAAGCAACATGGGAGTAGCACTCCAAACCTCCAGAAGATGGCTATACGGATTTTGAGTTTGACAACTACCTCTTCTAGTTGTGAGCGCAATTGGAATCCGTTTGAGATGGTATTTTAGTATTTTATAATTTTATATGCTTTTCTTATTTATAAGTTCATTTTTCTAATATAGATTCATAGAAGGTAAGAAGATCATAGACTCATAGTAGTTACTTATGCATTTTTCCTTATAGGTGCATACAAAGAGAAGAAAAACCAGCCAAAGAATGATCCTATCTCTTCTAAAGACATGGAGAATGCTTCAAATTGGCTAGTTGATGACCCTGGTACTGAGGAGGTCTTCCCTGGGGAGGGTTTGACATGGAAAATGGTCGAAGAGGCTTCGGGGAAAGCTTCTGATCCTAGGAGGGCCACTCGAGCAACTTCTTCTGCTGGTACTTCATACTCACGGAGGGAGATACAGGAAGAGGAGGCATATTTAGAAGAATCTTTGGAAGAAGGGGAATATGTTGAAGAGGGTGATGATTCTAATGATGACGGCGTCGATTTTGATGTAGATGGAAGCAATGAAGACAATGATTCTGATTCTTATTGATGTCTTTTGTCTTCTTTTGTAGTAACTGTATTGCATTATCTTGGTTTGGGCTTTAGACATTTGGACTATTTTTATTTTGTAATGAGGTTTATACTTTGGACTATTTTGTTGTGAGGTTTAATGGTTTTTCATAATTTTAAAAGTCAGTTTGTTGAAGACTTGGATGTTATTATGATTTATTTTATGGATATGGACAATGGAAAATATGAGAGTTGGAGACCTTACAATAGCCTATTAGACTTTTAAACGTTTTGTATGGTTTGAAATTTTGAATAAGTTTATTCTCAACCTGAGATATGCGATATGTTTGTATATAAAAAGTATGTTGCGAACTTGCAATATTTTCAAATGGAATAAATTATAAAGTTTGACAAAAATATATGCATATATGTGCATTGGATAGCAAATATATAAAAAAAATGCTAAGAATTTGCACTGCAGGGGCGCACGAGGTTCTGGGCGCCAGGCAGGCCACCTAGGAGCCGCTTAGCATTTTTTGAAATCTTGAGCTCTCTAGAATTAGTAAACTAGAATCACCAACACATAAATATATGAATCAAGGTTGCTGATTTTTTACATACATTTGGAGCATCATATATTATGAATCCATGAAATAAACCAGATTATACAGGAACATTCTCAACTTTGTTATGTGCAAAACATCACCAAAACCACCGAATAAATGGAAATCCAACGCACAATAAGAAAGAACAAAAACAAATCTTTATAGAGGAACAATAGCAAGAAGAGAAAGTGCCATACTGTAAACTGAAATTTCGTGGCTTCCATCTCAAGCCACGAAATAAAGAACTGATGTAGCTCTCTAGAATCAGTAAACTAGAATCACCAATACATAATTATGTGAATCAAGGTTGCTGATTTTTTACATGCATTTGGGGCATCAAATATTATGAATCAATGAAATAAATCAGATTATCTTGTTCACTTGTGTATGAAAAGAAATGGAGCAAGAAAGCAGAAAACAGAATAAAATACAGGAGATTTACAAAGGAGAAAAACTAAAATTTGTTTACGGTAGATTTACAACAGAGAAAAATAAGGAAAGCCCTAAACTCTTTTACAGGGTTTCCTAAAAAAATCCAGAGTATCCAGAAACCTAAATTAGTAAATTACAAAAAGAAAAAAAAAAGAAGGGAAAATCTTCATATAACTCACTTATTGCGAGGTTGCTGCTCTTGCTCGCACACGGTGCGAGAGCGAGAGATAACGGAGGGAAGGGAGGAGGGAGATTGTGAGAGGGGAAAGAAGAGCACCTCGCTAGGGTTTTTGATGGAGTGAAAATAACACGCAAGTTTTCAGTGAAAACTCGGGCACATCCCACCCGATGCGCAGACAGTTTCTTAAGAGCAAAGTGAAAAAAGAAATGGGTGTTCCGATTTCACCCCTTTACTCCATTTCCAAAAACGTACAGTAAGTGTGAAAGTCGGGCACTTTCACCCTGTTACAAAGTTATCAAACGCCTCCTTAAGGCGCGCCTTCTTCTCTCAATTAGAAATCTCCAACTCTTCGCTCTTCTACCATGAATCTCTTTCAAAACTCTTTTCTCCCTGAATTTGATTCTATGATTTATTTGCCCTGGTTAACGCCTTCTTCTTTTTGTTCGTCTTTCTATGTTGTTGGCTTCTGGTTCCTCTCTCTCTAAACTATGATTTTTTGGTATCCTTTCAAAACCCTCACTCCGTCTATCTCCTTCTTCTAATTCGAATCATGGATGCTCGTCTTTTGGCCTCCTGTTCTTCTCTCTCTCTGAATTCATTAGGATTTCTTCTCTTCCTTTTCTCTGTCATCCACTTTCAAATCTATGCATCGGGTTTGGCCATTTTCATTCTCGCTGCTCTGACGTGCTGTCACTCCTGCTTGTTTGCGAGAGGGAAATGGCATTCAAAATTGAAAAGATAGAGAAGGTGGGGAGAGGCGAAACCTGCTTTTGTACCGAACCCCGCAAACGTAGAAATGCGGTCTTCCTAATAAAACCTAATTTTGAGATGGATTTTAAGATTTAATTTTGAAGGACATGTAACATGAAAAAATAAAAAAAATAAAATTTTATACAAATCCGTTATGCTTTGCATTATTACAGATGTATCAAATAGTTTATGTTATTACATGTATGTCTGTTTTTTACCTTTTGTAATGTAATTTTAAAAAAAAAAAGACTTTATCCTTTTTCGGATGTTGAATAACCAAATTGGAAGGTTTTTCGGATGTCCGAGATCCGAAAATAGGCCGAAAGTTTAATGTTCACATTCCTATTATTGGGTGTTGAACATCCGAATTGAATGGTTTTTCAAATGCTGGACATTTGAAAATGGTTTCGAATGTTGGACATCTGAAAATGTCATATTTTCAGATGATCAATATCCGAAAATATGACTTTGAATTTTCAGGAAGTCTCTGAAATTTCACAGTCATTTTCAGATGATGAACATCCGAAAATATGACATTTTCGGATGTCCAACATCCGAAACCATTTTCGGATATTCAACATCCGAAACCATTTTCGGATGATCAATATCATATTTTGGATGTTCAACATCTGAAAATATGACATTTTCGGATGTCCAACATCCGAAATCATTTTCACAAGGAATACAAAGTATCGACATAACCCTTCAATTCGGATGTTCAACACCTGAAAATGGGAATGCGAACGTTAAACTTTCGGCCTCTTTTCAGATGTTGAACATCCGAAAAACCCTCCAATTCGGTTATTCAACATCCGAAAAAAGGTAAAGTCATTTTTTTAAAAAAATTGCGCTATAAAAAGTAAAAAACGGACATACATGTAATAACGGAAACTATTTGGTACATCTGTAGTAACCCAACGTATAATGGATATGTATGTAATTTTTTCTAAATTTTAATAACTAAAATGATAATTCTACTTAGAAAATATTTTGACTATTAGTTTCGATTATTTTTAAAGGAAACACCAACCTACATGCATCTTTAAGATACATGCTTTACATTATCTTTAAAATATTAACTCATTGATTTGGGTTTATCGGTGAGTTAACTCACTGATTTGGGGTTTATAAGCAAAAATCGCAGCAAAAAAAATTATTTATATAGTCATTTGGGGTTTATCATCATAATAAACAAAAGAAAAAAAATACTCAATAATTTGAGATTCCTGCTCTGTGATGATGGCGATGGAGCAAGCGACTGCTACAAGTGAATCCCTTTCTCTTCATCAACTGAGGGTTTGCAAAGGGCAGCAACTATGAGCGTGAGTTTTCGTAGAGAGAGAAAGAGAGATGGGCCAAGGGAGAAGAGGGCTTCTACAAAGAGAGAGAGGGGCGAAGGGAGACGATTGGCTAAGATAAACAAAGCTTCCACAAAGAAGACAAGAGATGGAGAGAGATTGTCCTAGGGTTTTGCATAGAGAAGAGAGATAGAAAGAGAGAGAGAGAGAAAAGAGAGCTTTATATGGTGAGAGGAACCAGGAGTAGAGAGAGATAGCGAAGAGAGAGCCGTTCAGCAAGTCATCACGCGAGGAGCAAGCTTTATCTAGAGAAACATGTTTTTTGTTGAACGTCTTCAGGACAATGTCCACCCCTTAACTATTGCTCGTATATGCCTAAAACAAGGCCCAATCAAAGCCTCTAATATGAATGTAGTATATGCCTAAAACAAGGCCCAATCAAATTCTCTAATATGAATGTAGTATATGCCTAAAACAAGGCCCAATCAAAGCCCCCAATATGCCCCAACTCTGTTTTCCATTGAAAACCACAACTGAGGTTGCATCACGTAAGACTATGTGCACCTGTACAAAATTTCAGCACGTGTATTATAAATACAAGAATCTAGAACTTATATAAACCCATACAACAAATACTTTTATTATAATATCAAGGTTACAAATTCAAAACATGTAATATGCCATCGAAACAAGGAAAAGCATAAACTATAATAGAATGCCCGAGATTACTTCAACAAGATTTACCAAACTACATACCAGAACTTCACCTAAGATAGTGCAGATCAGAGGGCCACCTAAGCTTCAAATTTGGGAAGAGGGTTGGTTTCATTCACTTGAAGATGACTTTAAGGTTCAATGGAGGTAATGGGGTGAAGTGGTGCAGTGGGTGACAAGATTAGGGCAAGTATGACGTACACAACACTATGCTCAAAATACTAGCACCATAGGTCAAGCTTCAATGGCCATAGCCATCACAAGTGAGGTGAGAAGGTAACCAAGGTGCGGCGTGGGGCCTAAATAAATTGATGGACTAACTTTTAACAATGCAAAATAGACTGATGATAGATGAAGTGCTCAAAGTTCCTATTTATATATATAAGTGAGGTTTATATGAGGTGTCAACAATAATTATTGAAGTAAGGTGTACCTCAAAACTATGCCGAAAATGCAACTTTGGTGCCGCAAAGCCTTGCAATGTTATGAAAATCTATTGTTTTTGCTAATTATGAAATTTAAAGTTCCAGAAAATGGTGATGATGAAGCAAAGCTACAAATACTTTAAAATCTTTAAAGTAGACAGTCTAGATAATATATTAGAA